CGCTTGACCTCTGCTTGATAACTGAACGTTGGAGAAAATAGAGACACCGGAAATACGTTTCGGCTGGACGGTAAGGTCCAATGTCTAAGGGTTGCTATCTTATAGGTTCACTAACGAAAGTTGAAGTTGCGTGAAATTATTTTGGCATTACACCTCTCAAACTCTTTACGTAACAGAAAACTCTATCTACGAGTATGTGGAACTTATATGTAATGTATTTTGTATCGCATTGGTAAGATTTTGATGTTAAAAAGTAAAAAAATACATCATACGAGAGCTCATCATATTAAAGGAAGAGCTATTTATGACGTTTGTTCTCAGAGTAGCTTATGTAATAGGTCCTCAAAATATATATATACATAATTTGCTATGCAAAACGTGCCCAGTGTAGACATACCTATTGATAGAATAGGAACTAATGTGCCACATCTCCCATACATACAAATTAGATTATGGCCATGTTTAAATTCAAGGAAATTCAATGAACTTTATTATTGTTTTTCTTAATTCTTTTCAGTTATTAGTTCTACGTAGGTACATACGATTGCAATTTAATTTAATACTTTGGAATTATGAATTTTAGATTTTCATAATATAATATTCCTTCTAACACAAACATTTCAGAGCAGTACCTACTATAAACATATCATTACATTAATATGTAAAAACAAAAATAGCTTTCAACTAAAAGGAAGCATTTATAATCCGTCCGTCAACCTACTAGCGTACCTTAGATAGAAGTTGGCAAAAAGAAAATCATCTGTAATTCTATCAAGTAAGGTTCATATTGATTTTGGATATGTGTCATTTTCGCAACATATCAGTGCACACAGAAGGCGTTGAAACGAATAGGTCACATGAAATATCGATTTAAAAAAATTTAAATATTTAAAACTGTAATGCGTTCCAGCAGTCTAAATTGTATGATGGGTGTTTAAAAGAAAGCCGCAATGGTGTATTACTCAGTACAGTTAACTTAAAAAGACGTCATCATCAAATCAACTGTAATAATTGTTTTAGAGCAGAACCTAATCTAAATAAGTATGAATTTAATATGAGAAGAAAATCTCTAGATCATAGAATTTTTCAGTTGCCAGTACATAATTCATTTGTTTTTTAGTATTAACATTATATTGCAACATTCGCATGGCTCTTAAAACTTTTTAAACGTTCGCATTTGCATAAACTTTTTATTAAACCAAGGTCATATAATTTGATACGACCTATCAGAAGCAATATGGAAAATTAGACCAATCTAATTTATAACAAGAAGTTGGTTAGCGTCAATCGCTTTTTCAGTTTTACCGTCCGTAAACAACAAGAATAGACTGTTTCATTGAGTCATTCTTCGGAAATCACATGCCTACATACGAGGAACCATCGTCGGTTTGGTCAGTTTCTTTATTACTTCTAATTCTCATGTTTCCGTCAGTTTTCTCGGAAGCTTTTAACTTTGAATCACGTTTTTTCTCCAACAATTTTTTTCGTTTTTATCTTATTTGTTGTAAAACGTTTGTATCGTTTGCTGCTGAGCATTTTATATTAATAAAGTGGAAACAAAGACTATTCCTTATAAATCACATCTACAATTTTTATTATCATTACCAAACTATTGCTTAAAACATAAATACAATTCTATAGAATTTAATAAAAACGTGTTAGATAATAATGTATGGAAAGACAACATGAGTCTAGATTACACACATAATTATGATTCAAAGTGTATTCCATAGCATTTAAGTTTATTGAAAAAGGTCAATCCCTAGAGTTTCTTGCTCGTTCTTCTCAGGGAGGTTAGCGTAGTGAAATGACGATTTCAAGTGTAACAATTTTACCTATAGCTATGGAATAAATGATTATTTGACTTTAACTTTCATATACTCTGCTGACAAATGTATAGGGGAAATATTAGGTACCAAATTCTCGTAGCATGAAATGGCATAATATTGATTCCAAGCAATACGACAATTTTCTACGCGCCTGCGCTGGGCTGTTGTAATCTGCGGTCTGGTCGGCAACATTGCTTGGAGTAGCTTCTTTAGGTGGGTATTCTTTTAAAATAACAATTTTTAAGAATAACAAATTTTAAATGTTAGACAGATGAACAATCTTTAAAAAAGGCAACCACATCCTACTCACTAAAATTAAGCTCGCAAATATGGCCTACATATTCTCAATTGAGAAAAATAAATACAAAAGTAGGTATTTAGATCGCAGTGTGTTAGTAAACGACGTTTATTACTCATTATTCGTCGGCTCCTAAATCATCATTAAAATAAAGCTCCTCAATATTATTCTGAAATCCCAACGTCCTTTGCACATAATTTAAGTATGTGAATGGCTACAGATAAAGTCTTGTACTAATAAATAAATTATAAAACGCTGAAAAGTCGCTGCTATAATGATAATTTATATCCGTAGTAAAGAATGCTACCCCACTGAGAAACCACTTGGGATTATGTACAGGTACAACAAAATAAATGATAAAAAAACTTTTTTTTTTTTAAATAAATTTTGTTTATTTCAAAATCATGAATTACTTTAAAACTTTTTTTATGTCACTAAGTGACGAGACGAACAAGTTGCACGACGGTAATGATAAAAAGTCCAAAAAAGTCCATAGCAGTTGCAGTGCCACTCAGAGCTTTAAATCGCAAAGATCTGAGGGGCTCTGCCACTACGCCCGTCACCCTGAGACATAAGTTGGCAGTTCCATGTGCCTGTAATTTCGAGCACCGTTACTCTTCAAAACCGGATCGCAGCAATGCTCACATTACTGCTTGACTGTAGAAATAGATAAGGTACTTCCCTTTCACAAGACGAACTCTTTCACAAGGAGCTCTACTGCTATAAAAAACCTACCTTTTAGTAGGTTGGTCAAGTAATACAAATTATTTTTGTTTTACATTTGCAAGGAACTTTGCCATATTTCTACAAGACAAGACTGAACATCACTTAAATAATATCTTTTCTAATTCGAGATTAGTAAGCAGCAATCGAGGCATAAAGTATGTACGTGTACTTGCAGTGAAGAAAGATTTTGATGAGCTAATTACTACACAGCTGTCGCGAATTCGTAAAATAGGATCAGATAAACTGATTCTTCATTGGAAGTAAATTTTTTAACCACCTTTGGCAACACGTGTTTAGCACACGGTACTGCTGTTCGGGGAAACAGAAAGCTTTACGGATGATAGAGACTTCTTAGCTTAAAAATTATTGAGAAATTAACTTATTTATTTTGTGTATAAACGTTTAACTCATTTAGCCGTTTTATATCGGAAACTAATTAATAAATATATACATAATAAATAAATATTTGTTTGGGAATATTTAAAAAACTTATCGCAGTTATTAAATTAAGTGCAAATTGATAACAAACAAAATTCTTTGTCTTATTTACAAATTAAATATATGATTAAGTATCGTTTGCTATGAGTCATAAACATAATTAATGAACTTAGATAATTATGAAGCCGAAAAAGAAAGAGTTGAGGCGACAGACGCTGGTTCGAGTCCAATCAGATATAAGGAATTATTCTATGTGTTTATTCGATTTTTGTATCAATAATAACAAACTAATGTAGTAATTTCGCAAAAAATATCATAGTAATAAAACACTATGATATCTTGGCTACAATAAGTAACTAATACATTATTATCTATGTTTTGTTGTGTACAGTAGCAATTTTATTACTGTAATAAAAAATAATAGTAAAGTATCATTAACAATTTTAGAATGAACACAACTCCAAGTAAAATATGAAATAGTTTAATAAAATAAATATACCAAAGGACTTCTCTGCAGATGACTGTAGTCGACAGCAACAAAAACATATTGTTTGCCACGTGTTATGTGTTAGGACGCCGAGTGAATGTTAAAAGGTTCAGGATTCAATTTACTCCAAGCAAAACCAACTCTGAGATCCTTGACAAGCCTAAAATATTAAATACATAAATGTTTCGTAGAAAAATGTCGAAATTGTAATGACTATCATGAAAACACAAAATATGCTGTTTTAGAAGATCGCATTGCCTATTTTAGAAGAAACGACTTATTGTACTAAAATAGTGTACTAAATAAAGGTCCCAACATATTTCAGTTACATAATGAATGAAACTTTAGCACGAAAATAATTGAAAGTTCGCGGAAAATGTTTGGAAACCTGATCAATAAAAATCATCACATCAAAACAATCAGATCACGGACGTTCTGTAAGGAGAATTTTACAGTAAATATTGCATATACATTGTGTAATCGTTATGTGTGCACTGGCGATAATCCCGTAAATATAAGAGATATCTAAAACCTTTAAACCGATATCGAAAATATGTTACCTAATGAGTAAAACGACATTAATAACTATTTTTAAATAAAACTGACGAATAATCGCCTGGGCACACGTAACTATATACATATATATATATATTAAATATATATGACTATTAAAATTCCTTGAAATATATATGTGTGTAAAAAAAATATTAAAATCGTTTATTGTCATAAAAGTGATCGGACATTTTGTTACACCCTGTATTTTTTGAACACTTGCAAATATCGTAATGTTAAATAAAAGTAAATATTTAGAGAACAATGAAAACCGTGTGAAGATTGTTTATAATAAGCACACTGGTACTTAAAGGTTTACAGGTTAATTAGCATCGTTTGAAATCGTATATTTTTACATAACGTACAAAATATTTTATTGCGTGGACATATAATATTTTGAAATTAGTGTAATACGCATTTAAAACGTATGTGCTTCTGAGAAACAAACATGTTTCTATCATATTATTATTCTTCCCGCACTCGGATATTATTATTATTTAGATGTTGCCAAAAAAATTACCCATGTTTTCAGCATTTGTTCCTTCCCTATTCAACGCCAATAACAATTTCTAGGAACCATGAATCTTGTACAAAATGAAACTAATTATGTTTTCATATATGCCGCCGTTCTATATTTAATTATATCTTAAAATAACACAAATCTGCTTACCAGCTTCTCGGAATGAATACAATCCCCACAAGGGGTATCCGCGAAAAATGATGTAGCGCTAGACGGGAAAAGTCTGGAAAAACTGTATGTAAAGTCACGGAAAATCTATAGTCACAATCACTTGAACACGATTTAGTCCGTTATCCGTTGAAATGACGACGGCGAGAGGCAATTTTTTCAGGAATCCGCTGTCTTCTGGACGACCGCGCTACTTGAGCTTTGCGTTAAAACTGAACCAGTGAATATATATAATCAGGGAGCTTTCAGAGCTGCGCGCGCGTCAATATGGATGCAAGCATGATAATTACAGCCGTCTCTTTCTGCTCGCGCGCACAGGGGCGGCACTCGATTCAATTGTTTTATTTCCATCTCTCTCTGTCTGAATGTCGCGTGAAAATTGAGGAAAATGTAGATCGTACGTTCCCTTACGTAATTGAGTTCGCTACGATTTGACTCGTTGATTAATTGTTATTTTTGTTATGTCTTGTTAACTCTGGCGAAAATTCAAAGAAAAGGTTATACAAGTAATAGGTACAAACATTTAAATAATAATTAGCTTTGTTTTTACAATCTACATAATATTAAAGTAAAAAGGCAATTAAAATCAGAACAAATCTATTTTTTTTACTTTATTCTAAGTACCTCAATTATCCCAATTATGCTATTTAATTATCATTATATTATATTTATTTAATTACATACAATTTTATGTTTCTTGTCTTGTACAATTTCGAGAAAGTTTCGTCACCGGATGTCCATTTTCGTCCACATTAGAAAATTTATAAGCTATATTTTGAGATAAGGAAACGAATTTCTTCCAACGACTGTTCTGGGAAGATAATTTGTGTCTATTCTACGGATCGTCAGTTCCATTCGTCTGTCGTTCCGGCTTCCGCGTACTCCTAATAAAGGAAAGCGCATATTTACTTATATAGTTTCATCATTATGTTTAATTCTGTGTGGGGTTCACATATTTTTATTAAAGTTATGATTTTGATGTGACTTCAGATATTGTAATGTCATTTAATTTTTCAACCGTTACTATCTCACAGCTTTTTCCAATCATCGCAATTTAACGCAAGCTAAAATCTCATAGAACATCTAGCTCGTTACTCAATCTCCTCCTGGGTCTTATAAATATTTTGAGTATCTATTTCAGCTCTATTCTGCGAGTATAACATAAATCTCACAACTTCCTCCAATCTTCCTATACGGCATAAACGACAATCTTGGGAATATTTTCTGTTTACACAAATTGCACTTGTCTGATGTTAACGTTTCTTGTGCCTACAAATCGCAAACGTGGTGATTTTCTTATCAAAGTTCGTTTTTTATTTTTTTGTTTTCATTTATTTATGAAATTGTGACATAGGTGGGATAATTTTTGTTTACCACAAAAACTTTCTTCAAAAGCTGTATATTCAAATGTCTAAAGGAGTGCAAAAAAACCACAGCCAAAGAACACTTCTTCAAATTACATAATTCGTTTTATACTAGAGTAGAGAAGAGGAGAGTAGTATCCAGTCTTAATGTTCGTTTCCGACATCATATCTTTAATAAGGAGGTGTCGATTTATGTGTTTCGATTTAAAAAGCACCGCCTCTCAGCTGCTATCGATGTAGGAGTGATCGGTATGAATGAAGTCTATTAAAAGACCGCTGCACATAGGTAGAGTTATGAAACGACATCGATTAGATGAATGGAATGAGCACTACACAACATAGGCGTTACCAAAGTACAGACTAGGAGAACTTGTCCATCTTTATCAGAACTTGTACTTAGATTTCAATAATCTGGTAAAAACTACACGTACCTGATTAGGATATTTTTTATTCGATATAGGAATACTTTTTATCAGACTCTCGCTTGATGGTAACGACGACGTGGTCGAGGTTAGATAGATTGCCTAGAAAGTGCTCATTTCTGCTTGCGAGTTGCAAAATCTCAATTTATACTTGTCGAGGAACAGATCAACAAGCTGAGAATTCTACATCCTAGCTGCACCAAAAAGAGAATCGAAACGCTTTGCGCGTGTTGGTAGCAGGTATGCCAACAGCATCTACATTTCGATTGCTATTTTTATATTAAAGACCTCGACCCAATATGTCAGTCAAAGAATGCAGCTTGATACTTACGGAATGCTTAAATAAATAACAAAATAAAAAATAAAATAATAATAATATAATAATAATAATAATAATTTATTTCATTAAAAGTTTACATTTTACAATCACAGTATCACAGTAAAATAAAAACTAAAGTATAATTAACAAATGTATCGTTAAACATTTTTAGCTTACCAAAGCTTAGGATTCAGCTCCAATCTCTCAGGATGTATTATCCGCTAAATCGCTTTATATATAACGCGCGCGATTGCATATAACGTAATTGCCACATTCGCTTACGCCAATCTAGCCGTGCTTGGTCAACTTTGTAAGCCAAACAATAAACATCGGTCTAAACTTAAGTCTAAATGTAGCATTTCCTGCGAACTACATGTCGATAAAGTATTTAAAGCATATTTCTAACCTATTAGCAATACACTTTTTCATTGGTATTATTGGTATATGCACATTTTGTTTTTTTATGATACTAAGTAACGGGACGAACAAGTCGTGCGCCTGATGGTGAGTGATACGCCTGTCCATAACAGTTGCAGTGCCATTCAGAGCTGTAAATCTCAAAGATCTGAGGATCACTGCCATTACGCCCGTCACTCTGAGACATAAGTTGAAAAGACCCATATGCCTGTAATTTTATTAACACCCTTACCCTTCAAAACCGGAACCGGATTACTGCTTGGCAACAGAAATTGGTGAGGTAGACTTTCGTGGACGAATACTTTCACAAGGAGCTCTACTGCAACTAAAAAACACAGCACTTCAATATGATTTATATTTTATAGGAAGTATTCTTATTTACCAATAAAAACTTCTTATACGTATCGACACATGTTGTAACGAGACGTATTTACGTATGTTCGTCTTGGCCAATGATATTAATACCGTTGCTATTATTGGCCCAGATTCAATACAATAAATTTGAATATTATATGAAATGCGAAAACTCTGGTAAGTACGTCTATTCAAGGAACGTTAAAATTACAACCATATTTCGACGAGAAGCGTAGGACTTATAGAAAGTGGTGGGTTTTGAGAGCGTAGGTGGCAAAAAATAAATATACAACGCAACAAATTAACATTGACCTCGGACTAATTTCTTGGACGATAATTATAAAGGAAGAATCTCTGCAACATGGCTCGCTTTTTGATGGTCACGATGAAAACCAAACCACGTAGAGTTAATTTGTTATTGTTAGTATTGGTAAAAAATCGTGGTGTAATGAATCATGAACGCTGGGTGAAAGGTTAAGTTAATTAGGTAATTGATTAATTTTTATAATATTATGAACTTTGAATGTGGAGGCGTAGAGGGATGTCTTTCGGTTTTTAGTACCGTGAATTATAAAAATAAAATAGAAAACTGCCATAAAATTACCATACCGTGATTTAAATCGTCGCACATTCAATATTTATTACAACTTAATAACTTCTTCTTTTTATCGTGTCGACACTTCTTTTATTTTGGGACTATATTGACGCTGAATAGTACCTACGTTGCTACTTTGACAGCAATGTCCGTGGCCGTTAAGAAGAACTTAATAACTTTTCGTGTGTACTAGGCGTAAAATATTTTCGTGTGTTTTTTTTTACTGTCCGAAATTAGGTAAAATAATCTGAAAATTATAGTAATTTTCAGATTACTTTACCGAATTTCGGTGGCAATTTTTGTTATTTAAGCATTCTAGTATATTGTCCAGATATATTAAATGACATTTTAAGACACTACAATCAAATGTTAAATAATTTAAATTCATGACGATATTCTACAAATATACAAATAATAAGAATTGTCACCGAAATTAGGTAAAGTAATCTGAAAATTATAGTACACACGAAAATATTTTACGCCTTCTGCATTCATACGTTTGCAATCGAAAGTAAAATGTGTAAGGTAAATAATATTTTGCCATAACCCCATTATGATATAAGGGTCAACGCAGAAAAAAATTACCTATTTAAAATTTACATGTCCCTTAACTTAGAACTTTTTTGTAAAATATAGTTTTGAAAACACAACTAAAAGCTTTTTCTTTTCTGGAATATTTATTCTTGGGTAAAATTTCTTTCTATCCTCTAAGGTAAAATTATACAACATAACGTCTGTTTAAAGGTAAAACCACATAAGTGACATTTCTACAAAAAGTCTTTCTATAGCTATGATAAGAAAATCACTATCTTTGTGCAGGTGAAACTCAATAACAAAAAGGCTATAAACTCAGTAAGTGGTTTTATCTGTAGAAAGATGGTAATGGTGATTCATGTCCAAGTAAAATTTCCCTCGCTAAATGTTTGGCAATTTTGTTATGTAATTATATGTTGATGTAATGAATAATGTGATTTCTTTAGAGCGGAAATTCGCTAACTTATAAAGAAAAATAAATATTTTGGTAAATATGTTATGACATTTTACTTACTCAAATTTAAATACATGAGAAGCCAGATAAAGATATTAGTTTAGTGATCTTGACATATGTGTTCGCAGATTTATGTATCAGTTTCCTTATTTATCAGTTGAGTTACATTTTTTCGTTTTGGTTCATTTTTCTGCGTTTGACCCATAATTCTTTAATCTTTACATCCGGTCCTAATTTACTTACCTGGAAAAGGCATACCAGCTAATGCTTATTCGTTAAAAAAAGTGCATCATTGTCACAGTAGCCGGTAGCGTCCGCGTAACTAATGACTTCCTATCCTGTGCGCCCGTCTGTCTGTCACAACGAGTATCGGTGGTTTTTGACATGGCATGTAATGTAAGGAGATGGACTCTGAAAAAAATCCAAATTAATATTATAAATGCGAAAATAACTCTGTATATTTGTCTGATACCTAGGATACTAAAAACAGCCTGTCTTATGCTACTTTTTATCACAAAAATAAATCTTACGGTGAAGTATGAAAGATTCTGGAAATCTGGAAATAAATCTATGAAAATTAGTACAGTACAATTGGTTACTCGAAGTATTTATTCAACGCGAGGAAGTCGCGGGTACCAGCTTGTATCTGTCTAAACTGAAAACATATTCCTACTCATAACCTACGATTCAAAATGTTGTGTATGTGAACGTTTCCCTCT